TTTTTGCTCTTCCTAATATTTTGTGAAACACGATTGAAAATGTCCGTTGAAGTTCATAGCAAGAAAAGTGAACCCCGCCCTGTCCCACAGACCACGATAGAGATTCTCGATATGCAACTCTCAAGGACGCAAGTAGTGTTCAAAAATGAGGGCGAACCGGGGATTTTTGAGTTCGCAACCCATTTTCTTGTCGAAGGTTGGTAGTCATCCTAATTTGGAGGATGGGTTAACGAAAAATTTTCCGAAAAACACAGGAAAAAGCAGACATTTTTCGCTTTCGGCGAGCGAAAAACGGAAAAATTTTCTAAATTTAGGGGCAAGATATCTGATCCCCCGATATTTGCGCCGCTAACATCTCCTCTTGTTTTCTGGATGATGTTCAAAGTGACACGGGTCTTTCAGTACAATGAAAACGGCTTCATTGTATTTCACATTTTTATCCTGTAAGGATTATGGTGAGAGATTTTTTCGTTTTGTGGGTTTCGCTAATTTGAGATATATGGTTTGAATCTTCAGAACAAAATAAGGAGATAACTGAGGGTTTGCATTTCTATTGAATAGTCGTATTTTAAGCCAAAGTTCAATCGGAAACCCTTTTGCAATACAGTTTCCAAAATCTTTACCAATGAATGCACCTGATTGGTCAGTTTGTTAGCCAATCAGATTTTATCATATTTGCATGCCCAAGAATTTGTTGCGTCGAGTGGCGAAAACCTCATGTCTTTATGAGTGTGGGTGTAATTTTGGATTGAAAAGTAGTCCTTGACCTTTCCCTGAATGAAAGAGTATGCCATGCAAAGTTTGGTTGTACTAGCTCCTACAGGGTTCAAATGCATAAAAAACAAACAAACATTCTTCTTTATTGTAACGACAAACTGGATTGAATAGTTTTTCGCCATTCTCGGCAATGATGTTTATTCAGCTATTTTACATATCCAGAGTGCACACTAAATATAAATGTGTCGTGTTTATATGTCGTGAATTATTGTGTCGCATACTCCAGCAGAAAAATGTGTCGTGCTTAGAATGTGTCTTATACGAATTTGTCGCGTTCTGTCTGTTGACTATTCGTTCACCGTTTTATTATGCAGACATGGTCATATATAAACAACGTGGTTTAACATAGAAAAAGAAATTTCAAATTATTTTTATTTTCTAGATTATTTCTCGATTATTTTTTTTATCGAGAAAATGCCAATCTCGATCTATGTTCGTGAGAGGACTACTCTGAAGCGGTCTGATACAAATCAGATCAACTCGAGATTGGACAGATCCCAGGATCTGACCAGCTTGAGTTTTCAGAATAGGAATAATTAAATGGAATTAAATTGAAAAAAAAAAACATCGAAATATGATTTTCCAAAAGGACCAATAGAAAATGTGTCGCATGTGTCGTACGAAATGTGTCGTGGTCCCGCTGAAGAAAATGTGTCGCAGTGAGCTCCTTGTGTCGCACTTTAATGTGTCGTACAATGTGTCGCAAAACACGACACTTGCGACACATTTTAACTTAGTGTGTGTAACAACTTCATACATAATACGCATATATATAGGAGAGAGATTGAAGAGAGACAGGAGAGAGATATATTAGAACAACGGCAAGAGAACAGATAGAGAAGGAAGGAGAATCATCGAACCGTGTCATCAATATCAGCACACCCTCCCACTCAGATCAGACGCGCTCCTGAGCGTCTTTACAATATCAAAAAAATTAAATGAAACAGTGGTAAATAGCGAAGAGAAACAATAACGTAACAGAACACATCAAAAGTTGATCATTTTGACCATTATCATACAATAAAAAGTCGGATATAAACAATATCAATCAATAACACTAATAACAATCGCTTGAATTATCTTCTTTTTTTTTCAGACACTTTACAAAAGAAACGCAATGAACAGTTACATATAGAGACTTGAGTCTAGTGTATACACAGTGTTTAAAAGAATTTCTTTTTCCAGACCAGAATCAGAGTATCTTAGCACACCACATTAAAAAAATATTATTCATAACAAATAGCTGAGCATCACAGCGCTAATCAAAGAAGACATTAAATAGTTATACAAATCAATATAATATCACAAAATTCAATTTTCTAGTAATTTCTCAGAAAAAAAAACGAAAAGTTGTCACATTTCTTATTTAATTTAATCAAATGTAGCGCATCAACGAGGTATGAAAGAATAGAAAAATTTATGCACCCTCTGGGCAATGGAAAGAAAAGAAACTTTTTCACACGTTTCATCACTTTTATCAGTTAAAAGATAATCGACTTTTTTTTCCCGCTTGTTTTGCTTATCTGACATTCATGCGTCGTTGGATATATAAGATAATCAGTTGGATTGCGTGCAGATGGTGTATTGATGATAAATGAAATGACATTGCTTGCGGCAGTTATACAATTAAAATTCAGCCTCTTCTACCCTTGCTTGTTTTCTTCTTTTTCTTTGTTGTCGAGGCGAATAATTTATGTTTTCAATCGCGCTTCAGATGTTGTTAACGACTAATTTTTTCTAATTTCATGTGTTATATAGCCGGTATATAACTTCTGCTAATATAATGCGTCGCCACGCAGTAGAAGTGGACCACTTCCATGTCATTCTTCTCACGGTTGGCTCGACTGTTCGGTCGGCTGGGTCGTTCTCGCAGCTATTCAAATATTTACTTATCAATTTCTTTTGTTCATATAATTGCTTCTGTTTTTCATAAAAATTCCTGCCAACGCTTGTCCACCGGAGGCCGCCGGCGTCCAAACCGTTGAGGAGGTTCATCATTATATTAATTGAATTAATACTTGCTACTTCACACACTGCACAGTAGTTGATTAGCCGCTGCGCTTCGATTAACTTCTTGAATCATCTTCATAATGTTGTAGCTGTTGATAAAGACTAACTTCGAGAAGATTTTTCAGGATTCATTAACCATAGTTGCCAGTTGTGACGAACTTAGAGAGTGCCGCCTATGCCGGTCGGCATGATGGTGTATTGTGTCATCTGCACATCTCTAGTCGTGGTTCATGATGTTGAATTGTTATTGGTTCTGGCACGATTTGACTTCCATTCAGAACTTGCAATGATTCAGCAACCAGGGTCGAGATGTAATGACCGAGGTCTGCCAGTGTCGCCATGTAACGACAAACTGGATTGAATAGCTTTTCGCCATTCTCGGTAATGATGTTTATTCAGCTATTTTACATATCCAGAGTGTAACAACTTCATACACAATACGCATATATATAGGAGAGAGATAGAAGAGAGACAGGAGAGAGATATATTAGAACAACGGCAAGAGAACAGATAGAGAAGGAAAGAGAATCATCGAACCGTGTCATCAATATCAGCACATTTATATATTAGATACGTCTGAATTTGTTATGAGACGTGTTTCTCTTTATTCTTTATTCGTTTAATAATATATGAACTATTCAGTATCGTCTATATAATTATGACCATTCTTTGTATCACAATATTAAGGATTGATTTTAACTTTTTGATTCATTGTTAAATGAAATTGCTGCTAATTCCACCATCTGATTCCTATTACTTAGACAATTCGCTTATCCATTTCCAAGTGAAAAATATTCATTGAATAAAATTGCAAAGAAAGCATTTCCATGAAAGAAAAAATCGTTTGTTGCCTGAAAAAGAAATCATCCAATATAAGGGGAGTACGTTTTAAAGTGGAACAAGCATGAATACATTTACATTCTTAAAAAACGTTTTCTTTTCTTAAGAAGAGAGGTTTGTTCTTTACGCACCATGTTCTTGATCGTTTTTTTCTTTGAAATGAAAGTGTCAGTGTTTAGTCGTCTCTTCAACTTCACATTGATGTACATCTACTTATATATTTCATATGCTAGAATTTTCATTGTAATGCTATACAACGACGGTTGCATTATATTTGTTTTTAGTAGTAAAGTAATCCTTATTCTTGTGCATAATCGACGCACAACAATTTCAGACATGATAAATCTTCATTATAATGAGACAGATACTAATCAAGATAAACAGTAATTTATGAAGGAGAGTTGAAATTCACACAGTACTACTCATTCATTAACAGGTAATCGACGGGATTCATCAAATAAACCAATTAATTAGAGGAAAACAAAAGCGTCTGTTGAAGTACGAACGGATTTAAGATGAACAAATCTCTAAGTAAAACCATTGTGATTTTTCAATACCATAATCTAAAGCATGATTATTAATTTTCTAACACTGTACGGTATTAATTAGACATATATTAGCTTGACTCTACCTAGAAGATAATATGAAAAAACACAATTTCAAAAAAAAAATCAATTGCTACTGACATTTTTTGCCTATAAATTCCAGTGATTATCTAAAGACGATCAACAAAATACCATTTCCATGAGAATGAAAATCGGTAATTTCACTTAAAGTCCCCATTGCTGATCGAGGATTCACATTGAAAATATTACAAATCTGTATGGATCGACTTCGACATCAAACACACATAATCCGAGACATAATACAAGTACACGAACGAATATTACGAAGCAACAATAGACTTTGACGCTAATTTTTCTAACCTTATCAGAAGTGATTTAAAGAAAAATAAAGATATTACTTCATTTCATTTTGTTGCCATTTACTTGCTTATTTATTTTCAACCATTTTCTTAACTAGATTTATATAAAATTTATTTAAATATATTGTCATTATAAATTGCTAGTAAAATCTAGTATCATAGAATATAAAGAAAGACTAATTAATTTTAGAAAAATAGTTGATATAAAACTTAGTTATATTGTAATTAATTTATATTGAAAATAAATATAATCAAAAATTATTTTGTTTATAATCTAGAAAATATTTTTACGAATTCCGATTGAATAACATAGAAAGAAAAAGAAAAAAGAAAGTGAATATCTATTCAATTTAAAAGATAAATGAATGAATCTATTAACATGATTATATTTATTAATAAAAAAAAAAAATTTTTTTTTTTCATAATTAAATGAAGAAAAGAAAAAAAGTTAGTTATAAAAAATAGTATGAATAATAGTATTATTTGTTTTTAATATTTCAATTGAATCTGATTGATTATGTCTTTGAACAAATGGATAAATATGTTTAAGATGAATACATTTGGATGAAATTTCTTTTTGTCCTGTTTCTTTTCTATGATCCCAAAAATGTCCAATACATTGATCATATGGATCAAAATTAAACATTTTTTCAGGATATCGTGGTGCAGGTAACCATAATTGTCCAAATGGTCTCATAATTAATGGAAAAATATATTCTAATTTAATAAGATTATCAGGATTAGTTATTTCCCATAAATATGTTTCATTTTTATCATAAATAAAAAGATCAATAAATGGAAAATTCCATGAATAACCTCCAGCTGATGGAGTATTTTTAAAAAATATTTTATAATATTTAACTTCTTTTTTTTTATTTAATAAAACATAATATTTAACTAATGAATCATTCATTTGATCAATAATATTAATAAAACGAATATGTTCTTGAATAGGTATAATTAAATCAATATCATCATCCCATGGTATAATATCATGATGTCTATATGAACCTAATAATGATCCATATATTAACATATATGTTATATTATTTTTTCGACATATTCGTTCAATAATCATTAATAAACGCATAACTAATGTATGTTCACATGAAGTTAAACGACGAGAAAGAACATTAGAAGATTTCCATTGTGAATAACGATAAGGTAAACGATTAAGTCTTGTAGAATTAATTGATGGTACTTGAATTAAAGGAGATTCAGGTAAATATTTTTCACTATCATAACGATATGCCATATCAAGACACCAAATATCATAAT